GAAAGGAAGGTTCATGAAATCAACAACCATTATCCATGTAGTAGTAATGGCATACGTAATGCCCGGTTGTTGCTCTTACTGCAGACAAGAAAATCTTTAGAGATGAACTTGTTGACATGTTGAACTCCAAAGGAACTAACCTCCATGAAGTGCACATAATGTTGACAAATAAAATAACCAGACTTAATATCTCAATTATATATTTATATATGCAGCTTGGTTACCTGTGAAGTGCTGTAGTACAATATCAGTAAATTATATATACTGCAGAAATTCATACTGGTATGACTCTTGAGTCTTGATATGATCACTGGTAAACCTAGCCTACTATGAGATATATGATTTGCTATGTAGCCTAAGTGGGGCTAAGTTCCTTAGTCTCTCTCAATAATGGTTTTCCCTTGTAGAATCCTTTTTGGCTACATCACAAAGAATACTTTTCTATATGTTCTGGCTTTGATATCTGGAAATAATTGAGTCTTCCTCAGAAGAAAAGTTTTTTAAAAAGAAATACGAGGCTTGAATGGGATTTTAATTGCAGTCAAGCAGGATTGAGGTTGACTATCATAACATTGCACTTTCTAACAAAGAAATGAGTCTGAGTTCATTCATACATTAGGCTTCACGCTCTCTTCCATCAATACCACAAGAAGCCTATTTTGCCTCAAATAGAAGTAGAAAGCCTCAAAAACTAAGGCCTTGTTTGGCATGCAACACTTTTAGCCTAAAAGCCAAAAAGCTACTAAAAAAAATCAAAAAGCCTATAACCTATACCAAAAAGTCAAAGATTTCCTTTTCTCTCTATTTTTTTGCACATCTTTTCGTAAAAAATCAAAAAATCATTTTAAACATACTAATTTTCTTACCTAATATTTTAGCAAAAAAATCAAAAAATTACTAAATAACCTGTTCCAAAACGAGGCCTTAATGTTGAATAACTCTCCTTATATTTGTCATTTGAGATGAAGATAAGCACACTAACCTTTTGATTATTGCTCATCTCGTTGAACAATCTTTGCTTGAAAGACAAATGTTACACATATAGAACATAGACACAGCGTTGCTGGAAACATCTCATTGCCTCAAGGCAGCTGCTAGTTTCTTTTGGATTAGCTCGACTCCAAGGCGAGGAGATAATCTAGGAAGTATCTCCTGCAACAAAGATAAAGATTTCTTACACCTTCAGAAAAGCAACATGTACAAAAGCTTGTTTAAAAAATAAATTTCTTGGCGTATGTGGTGAGGTCAAATTTCTAGGTAAGTGTACCACTAAAATGAAACCTTGGAATTTTTAGCTTTTTTACTGATACCCTTGTCCGAAAAACGTGTTGCACTTAATTTGATTGCTAATAAGGGTTTATGCTATCTAATTATAAAGTTTCTGGTTCTCAAGAATCCAGCTTGACATGTACACTAAAAGTTTGACAGTACAAAGATGCACTAAAAGAATCCGTGTTTGTTACTGTCAGGATTAGACAAGTATGCATATGTATTTGAACATACATAAATACAACATAAACCATACTTATAAATAAAGAGTGGGGTAATTGCCCCGTGGTTCTAAAAATTACAAATACCCCCTTATTTAAATTTTTTATTTAACATAATTAACAGAAAAAATAAAATTCTTAACTACTCTTCTATGCAACAATAAAATTACCTAAATTGTTAATCAAAATATATTGTTGACATCATTAAAAATTATTAATTGACTTAATGATTTATTATGAAGCACGGATACTTCAAAAAGATAGACGTAGCCATATCGTATCCATATTGGATACCGATACACCTTAGATACTCGTAGATACCTATTGGATACTTATTAAAAGTATCGGATACTTCTTAATTAATTTTTCATTAATTTTGAAGTATCGGATACTCCAAATCACTTATTAATTCTTTTACAAAATTAAAATTGTAGCATTTCTTACATAGCATTATAATTATAATATAATATAATTGTAAGAATAAATACAAGAATATTTTTCTATTATTTGTTTAGTTTTTCGATAAGAAGAACGTAGTGTGTTAAAGGAATATATTTTGTCAAAATTGATGTACCCTTATTATTTCATGCATGTTCTCTATAACTAAATAGAAAGTAAGGATTAACAAGAATATAACAATAATAAATTAAATATTGTTGAACGTATAGATGATAAGAAGAAGAACAAGAGAGAGAGAGAGCAGCTGTATATTCCTTAATTCAAAAAGCATAGGGTTTCCCCCTTACAACTATTTATACTAATAAGAATAATACATAAAGACCAAACTAACCTTAACGCTTAACACTCTCCCTTAAGTTGGTGTAAAGATGTCTCTCATGTCCAACTTGCAACAAATAGGGTGAAAGACTTTACTACTAAGACCCTTAGTAAAAACATCCGCCAGTTGATCTTCAGACTTAACAAAAGGCGTAAATATCACGCCCTTATTTAACTTCTCCTTAATGAAATGTCTATCAATCTCAATATGCTTAGTACAGTCATGTTTGAACAGCATTGTGTGCAATACTAATGGCAGCCTTGCTGTCGCAATACAAAGTCATGAGATCACTCTAATCAGGTCCTATATCACCCAACAAAGATTGAAGCCACATTTGTTCACATATTCCATATGCCATAGCCCTGTATTCAGCTTCAGCACTAGATCTAAAAACCATCGATTGCTTCTTATTATGCCATGTGACTAAATTTCCCCTTACAAAAGCACAATAACCGGAGGTAGAGCGTCGGTCGTCTATAGAGCTTGCCCAATCTGCATCTGTGAACGCTTCCAACCTCAAGTGACCATGATTAGAGAACAAAATTCCTTTTCCAGGATTAGATTTAGGGTACCTCAAAATGCGATAGACTGCATCCAAATGAGTTGCACAAGGATCATGCATAAACTGACTCACTATCCCAACTGCATAGGCAATATTTGGACGAGTATGAGAGAGATATATCAATCTTCCCACAAGTCTTTGGTACCATTCCTTCTCCACAAGCTCACCAACCCCACTACAAAGACGATGATTAGTATCAATCGATGAATCAGTTGGTCTGCAGCCCAACATGCCCGTTTCCTCAAGAAGATCTAAAATGTACTTCCTTTGAGAAATGAAGATGCCTTTATCAGATCTGGCAACTTCAATCCCAAGAAAGTATCTCAATGGACCAAGGATTTTTATCTCAAACTCCTTGGCTAACTACATCTTGAGATGGGTCACCTCCTCCTCATCATTACCTGTCACAACTATGTCATCCACATATACAATAAGCACTGTTACCTTATATACATTGTGTTTGACAAAGAAGGTGTGATCCGCATTGCTTTGCTGATACCCAAATCCTTGCGTTGCCTTTAGGAATCTACCAAACCAGGCTCTAAGAGATTGTTTCAAACTGTATAAAGCCTTCTTCAATCTACAAACCTTTCCAACTGTAGACTGACATGAGAATCCTGGAGGTACATCCATATATACCTCCTTCTCCAAATCCCCATGAAGAAAAGCATTCTTCACATCTAGTTGCTGTAGAGGCCATCCCAAATTAGCAGCACATGACAAAATAGCTCGAATGGAATTCATCTTTGCTACCAGGGCAAAAGTTTCTTGATAATCTATTCCATATGTCTGGGTAAATCCCTTGGCCACTAGTCTTGCTTTGTACCGTTCAATCGTCTCATTTGCATTGTGCTTAATGGTGAACACCCACTTGCATCCGACTGATTTTTTCCCATTAGGAAAAGACACCAACTCCCATGTGTTATTTTTACTCAAAGTTTGCATCTCTTCTACCATAGTTACTTTCCACTTAGGATCATTGATGGCTTCTTTCCAGCCCCGCGGAATACACACAAAAGAAAGAGACGAAACAAAAGCACGATGTGGAGAAGACAACGAATCATAGGACATGAATTTAGAAATAGGGTGTTGAGTATAGGCTCTAACCCCTTTCTGAGAGCAATACGAAGACTCAAATTATCAGTAACAGGACCATCAACAACAGGCGAAAAAATAGGTTGAGGATTATTACCTATAGAGTCAGTGGAAACTAGGTGTGGAACTGGCATAGGAGATGATGATTGACTTTGTGGCACAAGAGAAGCCTACTCTTTCTGACGCCGTGAATAAGTCTTAAGATCAGCCTTGTCCAAACGACCACCGATATCCGACTCCTCATCAACAGAACTACTAGGCTCCCCCTCACCACAAATAACAGGCCGCTGATTAGAAAGGAAAAAAGACAACTCATGCTGATATGATGCCGTCTCATCCGCAATCTCATCGATACCACTCTCCCCTTGATGAGATAGCGGAGGACCAGAAAAAAAGGACTCCGATTCATGAAAGGTGATATCTATACTAACATACAGCTTATGACTGTGAGGATCATAGCATTTGTAGCCCTTTTGAGTAGCAAAATAACCAAGAAAGACACACCGGACAGCCTTAGGATCAAGCTTCCCACGAGTACGAGATTGAAGATGAACAAAACAAACACTATCAAAAACTCGAAGCGGAAGGGAAGAAGTGGGATAAGTCACAGGAAGAAGCTCAAGAGGAATTTGGAAACAGAGAACACTAGAGGGCATACGGTTAATAAGGTAAGTAGCGGTAAGAACAACATCCCCCCAAAAAGACTTAGGAACGTGCATGGTAAACAAGAGAGAGCGAGCAACCTCAAGGAGGTGGCCATTCTTGCGTTCAGCAACTCCATTCTGTTTAGGAGTGCAAACATAACTAGTCTGATAAAGAATGTCATGCTCCTCAAGGTATGCCCTGAAAGCGCCATCAACATATTCAATCCCATTATTACTCCTAAGAATTTTGATAGTAATATTAAAGAGATTGGATACCATTTTATGAAAACTTTTGAAGCACGGAAAAGCCTCATTTTTAGTACGAAGTAAATAAATCCAAGTCACACGGGAATAACAATAAATAAATGTGACAAACCACAGATAACCAGAGGTAGAAACCACAGGGGAAGGGTTCCACACATCGGTATGAATAAGCATAAAAGAAAAAATATTTCTTTTATTAATTGAAGGATAACAAGTACGTTTATGCTTAGCAAGCTCACAAGCATCACAAACAAAGTTATTCCTAGGACAATCATGAACTAATAAAGGAAAAAGTTTCTCTAAAATGCTAAAGGAAGGATGCCCCAAACGGCGATGCCACTGATGAAAAAGACGAACAGAGGAGCCAGAAGTGCATTGAAGAGCCTGAGAGGACAAAGGTGATGCAGGAATGGCATCCAGAAAGTACAGTCCACTTTGTGCTCTACCACTGTCAATCATTTTCCCCGTAGCCAGTTCCTGAAAGACAATGAGTCGGAAAAAAGGTTATAGAGCAATTGAGAGCAGTAGTAAGGCTACTAACAGAAAGTAAGTTTGTTGAAAAATTAGGAACATGAAGAAGAGATGAAAGCGAAAGTAAAGAGGTGCAATGAACAAAACCCTTGCCGGAGATAGAAGATAAAGTGCCATCAGTCACTCTAACCTTATCTCGCCCAGAACTAGGTGAATAAGAATGGAAAAAACTAGAAGTACCCGTCATATGATCGGTAGCATCGGAATCAATGATCCAAGGAGATGACGAAAAGGCACTAAGTGCACTAGCAGAAATACCTGTGTGGGCAAAGTTGGAAGAGGCAGAAGAGGAAGGAGCTAAGGCAGATGAAGAATCAAGTTGAGCCATCAAACGTCTGAGAGTGTGAAACTCATCCTGGGAAATAGAACCAGCATCATTCGAGGCACTAGCAGTAGTCTCAGAAACACGTGCTTGAGGACGAACACCAGCACCACGACCACGGCCTCGAGTAGGTCGGCCATGCAACTTCCAACAGTGTTCTTTATTGTAGACACCCTAATTTTGACTGCTTGTAAGATTTAGGCGCTTTATTCCAAACACCCGATGATGAAAGTCGCACTGTGCAATCTTTTGAATTCTCAGCGAAGAAATTTAGATTCAAGCTCTAATTCCAAACCTTGCACCCCATTTTGGCCAAATTATTTTAAACCAAAACCCTCTTTCAAAATATTTGTCCAAATGCTTCTACGATGTTCCGAGGCTCGCATTTTATTTAAAACTGCACTTGTCAGTAAACCGAGCAAGGACAAAATGAAAATAAATGAAAGGGAGGTGAACTCTTTGAAAACAAAAAAATCTTTAAAACATCTTGGTTAAAGGTTTGGAGTTGAAGAAAATTGGAGATAAAGCCTTATTATTGCATATTATTATTGTAATAAATTAGACAGCCCCTTTCATTTGTTAGTCATTCGGCTTTGTAATAATTATTTATTCGGACATTTGGACATTCAGACCCTCCTTCGCGAGGATAAATATGTAATAAGTTGTATGTCTTCCAACCCTCATTCTTTCTTCCTTTTATTTCACTGCTTATGATGGTTAGATTAGGGACATCATGTTTAATTAGCATTTTCCATGATTTGCATCCATTCGTTTACATGCATAAAAGTTCGGCTCATCATATTATACAAATGTCAAATTCAAACTCCTTACTCGCATACATGCGCGCTATCAGAGGCCTTGAATTGACTCACATGCCATACTAGTAGCCAAACCTTAATTGCACGTTGCATGTGGTGCAGTAGTCATTAAATTAGGATCATACATTTTTTTCTAACTATTTGCTTTCTTTTTGGACTCGCCTTCGGACATTAAGGTAAGCATTTTTGCTTTAGCATATTGCATAAGTGTGAATGCTGTCATATCAAACATACTACCATAAGACTAACTGCTTATTTGATATACCTGTTTGAATGCTAGTGGATGAAGGCTAATTACTTGAATTGGGATATGTTGATTCATGTATATATAAGATCACCATTTTCAGTGATACATATTCAAAACACTTTTTTTCAAAACAAACATGAAATCAAACATTCCAAACTTTTCGTGAAATTAGTCTACACTTGTATGTTACATATAGAACAAGAACGTATACTGTACATAAAAACCACATCATGATTAGTAGAGACCGATCTTTGATCGGGTGAGTGGGGTGTTCAATTATTGACCTTCCCCTCTCATACCTAAGTTTCCGAACCAAGACACTTTGGTAACGACGAACTAATGGCCTTTGGCACGAGTCATGGGTTTCCTAAATTTCTCAAAAATAAATATTTAGGTGGCGACTCTGAAATCTGACAAAGCAGTCCATTTTTGACATTTGATTCAAACATTGATTTTTCAAAAGAAATTGCCGGATTTGGACTCTTTTTGTGTTTCCACCGTTTCATATTGCACTTGTGAAATCAGATTCAAAAACCACACAAGTGGAGTCCGAACTGTAAAGGCTATTCATTCTTCCGAAAGGGAGCACGAAAAGTCGAGCTACATTTATCATGTCTATCTTTTCCACAATACTCACACTTCAACCGGTCTTGATCAACAAATGGACCCTTACCACCACCTTGAGGCTGACAAGGCAGAGTATCACAAGACGTGGGGCTGACAACCATCGCTAACTGATCCGGAACAGGAGCATGCACCATAGCACTACGACGACTCTTCTCCTAACCAGTGCATAAGCCTCACGCAATGTAGGAAACGGAGAGCGACCCAACACCTAAACCCGTATCTGATCATACTCCAAATTTAGGCCAACAAGAAAGTCATACACCCGTTCCTTTTCCACAACCTGCTGAAACATAGTGGCATCCGTAGAGCAAACTGGCTGGAAACTCTGGTAGAAATCTAACTCCTGCCATAAACCACTCAACTCAGCATAGTAGATTGCCAGAGAGCAATCCTTCTGATCCAATCCCCTAATCTTCTTACGCAATTCATAGGCCTATGCATCATTCCCCTGCTAAGAATACATCTGAGAGGCAACTATCCAGATCTTATGAGCAGTATCCATCAAGAGAAAAATCCGACTAATGGTGGGCTCCATAGAATTGATGAGCCAGGTCATAACTAAAGTATTCTCAGAAATCCATTGTGCAGATAAAGCAATATTCTCAGTAGGTTGTTGGGTACTACTAGTAATATAGCTTGTTAACCGTCGGGCGGCAATGGCAAGACTGCAAGAGCGGGACCAAATCAAGTAATTGGCCATTAAGCTTGACCGGACTAATCTGGAGAGATGGACTATCACCAAGAGTCATACCACGACTCAGTCCACTCTCCTCCTTGCCCTTACCCTCATTAGCAACCATGAGATGAGAGAAAGATGGTGCAGAAACACAAGCAGGATATCAAACAAATCCAGAAAACACTGAACCGGCATAGTAACTCACATTTTAAGGCTAAAACAGGGTAAGATTATCCTAGAACACAGTAACCAGATCACCTACAAGCCCAAAAAACTAAAGCAGACCATCCAAAACATAGAAAAAAGCCAAGGTAGGGCAAAAATACCTCAAACCATGGACAGTAAACCCTTTAAGGGTTCCAGTCGGCTCCTACAGAAGTGAGAGGAAGGGACAAAACCAAGCAAAAAGGGTTCAAATAGCAGCTTTCAAAAAATCACCCAATTTTGACGAAAAATCAAAAAAATTGGAAAAAGCAATCAAGAATGACCAAGACATCAAAAGGAGATTACAAGTGAATACCCATTAAATTTCGAGTATGCTGATTTTTTTTTTTTTTTTTTTTTTTTTTTTTTTTTTTTTTTTTTTTTTTTTGTTGCTGTTATAGACGTACCTACCTACAAGAACAAGGAGAGAAAAATGAGAGGAATCATCTTCAAGGAGGAAGATTGTGCTCTGATACCATGTTGAATGTATAGACGATGAGAAGAAGAAGAATAATAAGAAGAAGAAGAAGAACGAGAGAGAGAGAGGAGAGAGAGAGGAGAGAGAGAGAGAGAGAGAGAGAGAGAGAGCTGCTGTATATTCCTTAATTCAAAAAGCATAGGGTTTCTCCCTTACATACAACTATTTATACTAATAAGACTAATACATAAAGACCAAACTACCCCTAACACTTAACAAGTATCAATAATACAACATTTTTACTAGTGCCAAAGGGAAAAGTTGGATTATTCTATTATTGTAATATAAACATATTAGACTTGATATTGAAATGAAATATTCGCTAGATCAATTGAAAAACTTAAATTAATACATAATTCTTAAGGGTTAGTATTTTGCATCATAAAATTACAATGTGGTTTCTCAAATTCTTGAGCTTACATGTATCTCACTACTAATAATTTTAAAATATATATTTTTTTACAAACGTATCCTAGCTGTACCCATATTTTATTTTTTTAGGTTTTGTCGTATTGCCGTATCCGTATCGTATCGTACTCGTATCTCGTATCCATGCTTCCTAGATGACTTATTAATACAATAGGTCATTGGTTATGCAATTAGAAACTTGAAGAGGTGAGATGTAATTTCTAGAATCACATGGGCTAATCTATATTTTAAGCAAACCTCAAGGGATGTATTTGTAATTTATCCTAAAGAGTGTCATTATATATAACTCAGGGTAGAAAAACGCGCGAGTAGGAGAAAAGAAAAGGGAAAGCTAATAGGAAATGACAAAGGATAACAGGTCTTCACAATGAATTCTAAAGCACCTGCAAGTCATAAAGAAGAATCTAGATATTGGTGTTGTACATTTGAAAGGAATGGACAAAAAACACCCAAGAAAAAAAATAACAAAAGTGAGCAACAAAAAAGTTCATTAGTAATCAAACCAAATTGGTCAACAAGAAGCACTGGTATTTTTACTTTCTTCAATGAGCGAAAGAATGCCCTTACATAAAATGTCTACCAGCTTTGAAAATACCTAAATCAGTTCTCCAAGGTCAATTTAACCTATTGGGAAGCACGCGATTAGGTTTAGCAAATTAATCTATTAGTTGATCATTAATGGGAAAACAACGTGATCAAGAGAAGCCAACCAGCCAATTAAAGGATTAATCATCTAAGTTCAAGATTAGGCCCTCACACTCGTTAGATTTCCCGACATGTCGGACAGTCATTCAAATATGTCCTATTATTTACTATAACAATATTATAATAATAAATTAAAAAAATAAAAATAAAAAACAGTACACACCTCAAACACTTGGGGAACACACATGTTCATCACTTAGATCTACATAAAACACATTACAAGCTTAAACAAAAAAACTTAGGATCCAATCATCAAAAGAATAATAATATAGATTTATACCTATTAATTCATTCTCTTTTAGACTTCAAAAATTAGTATTATGCTTTATTTTCTTAGCATCTCTAAATGAAGTACTCACATAAATAACATATACTAAATGTTTTTTGGTTGGTAACATAATAAAAAATATATATAACTAATACACATGTCATGTCTTGGATGTTTAAAATTGTTGTGTCATCATGACAGAGTTGTCTCTCGTGTCTATGATTCTTAGCCAAGCTTTGTCACTTGTTTTGCCCTTACTTTGTTTTAACCCTAGTTGCATTTTTTTTTTTTAAATTTAAATAATGAAGCAACAATATAGTACAAAACCAAATCGAATATTAAGTAAAATATGGTTTCGAAGTTAAAGTTCACACTTATGAAGTATTTTTGACTGAATAATAATTTTACAACAAATCTGGTGTTCCATCTTAGGCAGACAACTTAAAAGAGAAGTCATTGCCGCTCTTATTATGATGCTCTTACTATTTAAACAAGAGAAATGTTGACCACAGTGGCTATGTCACAACATTGTCTGCTACAACGGTCCGACATGACATCATAAACTGTCTTCTACATCGGTCCGACACGAGCCAGTGTCTTCTATATCGGTCTGCCATAACCATACAGTCTTCTACAACTGTCTGACACGACCATACAGTGTCTCCTATCCATTTTTTAATTTTTCAGATTATTTTCTTGTTTAGTTACTCTCTCCAAACTCAAGTGGGTTAGTTCCTATCCCCCTTGAGTTTGCGGGGGGCTGTTAAAACCTACCATCACCTACTCCACCTACTACACCTACCACCACATACTACACACCTACCACTACCACCTACTCCACTACATCTCTTATATAAGGAGCCCCTCACCATTTGTAATATAACACACATCAATCAATAATATACATCAATTTATTTTTCACAATTTACTTATAAAATTGAAGAGCACAGGTTTAAAGATCAGCCAAGTTCCAGGGAACCCAACACCAAATTACTTATATCCAACATGAAATTATGTTTCTCATCTCCTTTTTTCAAGTTTTAGAGAAAAACCAATTTTGACAAATGCTATAAAGTTTGAGCTATGTAATCATCAGGTAATTCAACAAATCCCAGCAAAATTTCGCCACAGCCTGAATAACAAAGGAGTATTAAACAACCAAGAACTTAAAAGAATGAAAGATTAACAATAATTACTTGGTTGATAAGAAAGAGAAGGGACTGCTTATTTGACCAAGAAATTTGCTCAATTACACAAGGAGATATCGTAAAACCTAAAAGGCAAGGATACGGACAAGTGACACAATGATTTTCAAAAAAAAAAAAAAAAAAATTATAAAAAAAGAAAAAATTATACAAACACAACGGAATATGAAAAAAAAAAAAAATTAGCTGCTACAAACAACCAAAATTAATGGGGTAAAAAAACACTCAAATCTATAATTTAAACATTATTTAACTTCCCAAATACTATTCATCAATTATAATTTTATAAACCATTACATCATAAAGGGAAAAAGCCTTCAAGTTCAATAATGAATAGATCAACCATCAAAAGTATATAAATCCTCTCTATTTTATTTAAGAAAACATATACCAAAAGTTTGGACAAAAAATTTAATAGAACCAACGTAAAGTGAAGCAAATTATAGCAAGTTAGGATTTGAGAACACTAGCAAGATTAGATGAGCAACTAGATTTTCAAGGAGATACGCTCTCTACTTCTCTCAAAAGAATTTTAGGGTACATATTAGAATAAGTTTTATTTTTTTGTTATATTTTTTCCAATTTCCACCATCTTGTTTCCAAATACAATACTTTCATTGCCAAATCACCTTTCCAACACTAAAATACCAAACCTGTTTTGTGGCATGCACGTAGGGTTACAAACGAGTCGTTTGCTTATCGAGCTCGTTTATTGAGTGTTAAAATTGATGTATTTATTGATTGATATATATTGTTGTTGTGTATATTACAAATGGTGAGTGGCTCATTATATAGGAGAGGGTGAGTGTAGTAGGTGAGGAGTAGGTGGTGGTAGGTGATGGTAAATTGGTGGTAGGTGATGGTAAATTTTAACATTGAGCTCGAGCTCAGCTTAGCTCAACTCGTCTCGTTAGTATTAATGAAACTCGACCTTGGCTCGGCTGGATAAGCTTTTTTTTTTAATATTATTTATATTATTTAATATATAAATAATATATTTATTATATAATTTAAATAAAGATAAACGAACCGAGCTTATTTGAGCTCGTGCTCAGCTCGTTTACTAAACGAGCCTAATATTCGAGCTCGGCTCGCTTACTAAATAAGCCGAGCCCTTAACGAGCTTGTTCATGAACAGCTCGATTCATTTGCAACCCTACATGTACGAAGACATGACACATGTCCCTGAATTTGTGATTTTTAAATAACATGTTTGGTACTCAAATATGGACAGACAAGTTTACCTATAGGCTATAGTCTTATTGTCCAAAAGGCAATTCTAATGATCCTTTTAGTTGAGTGGTGCAAAATACAACAACGAATTCACCAAATTGACAAAACGGTGCCAAAAAAAAAAAACATTTCTGTCTCTCTAAACATCTATGAAGCACAGATATGAACACGAGTGTTGACACTTGTATGATATGGGTATATTGATATGGTAAAATCCAAAAAAAGTAGGATATGTGTACAACTTAGTATGTTTGTAAAAAAATATTTATTTTCAATTTGAAATAATGCAAAAATTGATTAAATAGTTTTATTTGTTAAGATCCAACCTACAATTAATATTTAGGAGTGGTTTGGGATGTTCTAAATAAGGGCTGGTTTGGCATATTTAAAAAAAGCTAAAAAGTCAAAAAGTCACTATCCTATTTAAGTTACATCATCTTATTTAAGTCACATCACCTCTCTAACACATTACTTCAAACCCAACCCAAACCCAACCTATATTTCATAAAAAGTAAAAAAGTGCACTTATTTAGATCATCACAAACAATCCGAAGTGTACTTTTTAACTTTTTATAAAAAGATGTGTAGAAAAGCAGAGAGGAGAAGTTGATTGAAGTGACCCAAAAAAGATAAAAAGATAAAAAGATAAAAAAATAGACTAAAATAGGGTACCCCAAACAAGGCCTTAATATCAAAAATAAAGGTATAAACCAAAATTAAATGTCATTATATTATATAACTTACAAACCATAACTTAAATTTAAAATCATAAGTATAAAACTAAAAATAACTTACAAACCATAACTTATATTTACCAGGTTAACTTCCTAGGACTATGAATTGTTGAAATTCAAAATATTGGGTAGAGCCACTAAATCCCTACCATATAGGGGTAAATTGCAACTTGAAATCTCAATATTATTCAACATTCAAGTATATTGGAGCTCTATATTCCTATTGCCTCAGGCTGTGCTATGTAGTATAGACAAAATTTTGAATAATTTTTTGTGTAAAAGGAGTGAGCTGAAGTAGTCAGGTGCAAAAGTTAAGGAGGAGCACATTTGTGCACTTATGACTGAAGGGAGCTGGGATTCAAAAAACTTTAGAGTTGAATAAGACCACTATGCTAAGGCATTTGTAGGCTTTGAGCAAGAAAATTGATTTTTTGTGGGTTAAGTTGGCTCATACTTGTGTGATTAAGGATCAGAGTTTATGGCATATGACTCTTCCTACTAAGTCATCCTCGACAATTAGGAAATTTTTTGATATAAGAACTGTGGAGCAACTCTTAGCAGCAAGAAACTCCTATGGGGCCTCGCTCCTCACTCCGGAACCTCACCCTCACCCTTGCTCCCGGTCCCAACCTTGAACTCTTCTATAAGGCCCTCATTCCCTAGCTCCCGCTTCATGTAACTGTGGGGCAATCCTTGATCAAGTATATCATTGATGATGGGATTTCTACATTTTTGTGGCTTGATAGTTGGCCTCCCTTGGGTCCTTTGAATAAGAAATATGGGGAAAGGGTTGCTTTCCATATGAGCGGAGCTGCAGATAGCAGAGTTTCCTCTATTATTAGCTTGGGTAATTGGAAGTGGCCTAGAGGTATAACAGAGGTTATTACTGATATTGAAACTAATACCCTTGCTAGCTTCCTACCAAATCCTAATAAGCCTAACTCCGTGGATTGGCTACCCTCTAGTAATGGTGAATATAGTGTGGCTACAGCTTGGCAAGCAATTCAAACTGTGTTCCCTGTTGCCCCTTGGCACAAAGTGGTGTGGTTCTCTCAGAATGTTCTTAAGTGGAGCTTTGTGCAACAGGTTGTTGTTTAGAGGAGATTGGCTACAATGGATAGGCTACTCAAGTAGGGAACCGTTTCGGAAAACACATGAGTTTTGTGCAATGAGCTCAACTCATGATCATCTATTTTTCTGTTGTGAATTTTCAGCATATATTTGGACTATTATCTGGAGAATAATTTTTCCTAGACTAAGAATGCAAAATATTGATGAAGAGCTAGTTTGGGCTGTTGGAAATTGTGGAGACAAGGCTATTACAGTTCATGTATGCACGTTGGCCCTTGCTGCTGCTATGTATCATATTTGGAAGGAAAGGATTAGTAAGATATTCAGGAAGCCTGTTTATGCGGTTCTAGATGGGCTAGTGGTTGACATTATGGTTAAGCTTAGCTCATTAAGGAATGTGAAATTCTGTACTAGTGCTAGATGAGTGTGATAATTGGGGCATCTCTTCTAAGAATTTCAGTCATCAAGTGTGTTGTGTATACTGTTGTTGTTTGACTAGTGTTTTTGTTGTTTTTCCCACAAGTATATGATATGACTATGTGCAAATATTAGATTTGCTGACATACTCTTGATGCAGATTTTCTCAAAAAACAATAATAACTAATACTGTAAATGGATTTCTCCACCAAAAATAAAAAATGAATGAATTGTTAAACATTAGATATTTTTTTTTTGGGTGAATGTTAAACATTAGTGTTGTTAACAATGTTGAATGAAGTTAATTATTCAAATAATCATTAAGGTTATTATTAACAATAACACTACAAACCCAGACATACGAACCAGAATTTACCCAGAAAAAAGAATCAATGGCCAAATTCATTTTAGTCATGGACCCACACTTCATCAGTTTAATCTCCACCATTCGGGGGTAAATTATGGGTTGGCAAGACGGGGTTCATAGCATTTTTGTATTAACAATTGAAACTATCAGCCTGCATTGCTCAAATTTAGGAGTTCCTGAATAACAAAATCAGCAGCCAAACCAGAAGATCAAAAGATTTCCCCCCCAAAAAAACGAAAAAAAAAAAAAAGAGTAAAAAACCCACAAAAAAAATTCATGAGTGAAAGACAAAGTTAACAAACAACAGCTTAAAAGTAGTAATTTGGGAAATGAGAAACCTCAGTGCCATCAGACAGGACTCTGGCCAACACAGGTATCTCGTACTGGTAAGCCCTCTCCCACTCAGGATTCGTTGTTATATCCCTTATCTGACAAACAGCAAACAACAAACAACAAATCAAAGCAATTGAGAGAGAGAGAGAGTGTGTGAGGCAATATGGCTAGTCTAATAAAAGTACAAAAACCCAACTCGTGAGTGAATATATATATATATTATGAGAAAGAGGGAATGAAGACCTGCAAATCGATGTCGTGGAGGGAGTCATGGTCTGGGGAAGAGAGAGAGAAAGCGGCGTGGAGCTTTTCTTTGAGGCCATCGCACAAACAGCAACCGGGCTTGGAGTAGAGAATGAGCTTTCTTGATTCTGAAGAAGAAGATGAAGAAACGGGTTGAGCAGAGTAATTGAAGACAACTCGCTTGGCCCTTCTTTGGCGAGTAATTGCCACAAATGATGAGCATGGTCTTGCTGCTGCTGCAAACGTAGCTGCCATGGCCATGAGACGGAGACGGCGAGGGAGAGGGAGAGAGATGTTACGGGTTTCAGAAAATTTAGGGCCAATTTGATTCGTTAGTGGACCTCAAGTGGCCCGAATCACTCTTAAGCCCCGTTTGGGACGTCTATTTTGGTTAAGGAAAATGTTTGGTAGCTCAAAATTTTGTAGCTTAAATGGTTCAAATCTGTCAAAATGACGTCGTTTTACACTCATTTCGTTTTGAGTGATTTGAGCCATTTGAATCACAAAATTTTGAGCTACCTAGCATTATTGTTTGGCTAAAATAGTCATCAACACTGATTATTTACTGCTCTAATATCAACTTTAATGAGCGGGCAATGCAAGAAAAAAAACATAAGAATAATGCTTGAGACCCCCTTTTGGGGGTCACCCCTCACCCCCATTTGCCATGTGGCGAGTGGTGATTGGAGGAGCAGGAAAAAAAAAAAAAAAAAGAAGAAAATGTAACCAATGAGAGAGAGAGGGGGGTCAAAGGGGGTGGAAGGAAAATGGGGGATAAATCATTGTTGAAAACATAAAATAAAGGATAAACTATCATATAGTGGTGGGGTTCATATGGTACCATGTCATTAGTAATGTATTAGTGGTGTTAAATTAGTGGTTTGAAAATTTTTCAATAATCATATACGATAAAATAGGTTATTTTAGTTAAATAAGACAAAATATCACATTTAATTTATAATTATTTTATTTTTTTTTTCATAAAAGTCAAAAAAAATTAAAAAATCTATCCAAAAAAAAACTTTTTAACTCTAACCAAAAAGTTAGAAAATTAAAAAACCAACTCTTGCCAGTTGGATTATCGTCTAGACCACCCGTATAATCCTTATCAATTATGATTCCATTCTTATCAACCGTGATTACTTGGTCTGTTTGGTAACATTTACGTTTTTAGTTTATATTTACAAAAATTTTATAAATTGATTTTTGTTTATTTTTAGAAAAACATAAACTACAAACATGTTTGGTAATTGACAAAATATTTTTAAAAATATAAAAGAGTGAGAAATGGCAAATGGTGGCAAGTGACGGGTGGAGACGAGTGGTGGCGGCGGAAGACAGTGGTGGAAAATGATGGCGGGTGGTGGTGGCGGAAGACAGTGGTGGAAAATGGTAGCGAATGGCGGGACCCACTGCCACCTAATTAGTGAGAGCACTAATTAGTGCTCCCAAGCATTTTTCATTTTGGTTAAGGAAAATGTTTGGTAGCTCAAAATTTTGTAGTTCAAATGGTTCAAATCTGTCAAAATGACGTCGTTTTACACTCATTTACACTCAAAACGACGTCATTTTGAGTGATTTGAGCAATTTGAATCATAAAATTTTGAGCTACCTAGCATTACTGTTTGGCTAAAATAGTCATCAACACTGATTATTTACTGCTCTAATATCAACTTTAATGAGCTGGCAATGCAAGAAAAAAACATAAGAATAATGCTTGGGACCCCCTTTTGGGGGTCACCCCATTTGCCATGTGGCGGGTGGTGATTGGAGGAGCAGGAAAAAAAAAAATGTAACCAATAAGAGAGAGGGGGTCAAAGGGGGTGGAAGGAAAAAGGGGATGAATCATTGTTGAAAACATAAAATAAAGGATAAATTATCATATTAGTGGTGGGGTTCATATGGTACCATGTCATTAGTGATGTATTAGTGGTGTTAAATTAGTGGTTTGAAATTTTTTCAATAATCATATATGATAAAATAGGTTATTTTAGTTAAATAGGACAAAATATCACATTCAATTTATAATTATTTTATTTTTTCTTTCACAAAAATTAAAAAATTAAAAAATCTATCCAAAAAAAACTTTTTAACTCTAACCAAAAAGTTAAAAAATTAAAAAACCAACTCTTGCCGGTTGGATTATCGTCTAGACCACCCGTATAATCCTTATCAATTATGATTCCATTCTTATCAACCGTGATTACTTATATTTTTGAATGATTGATCGAACAATTAACATGCACAAATTATTAACTGTGGTACAATTCAACTACAATTATTATTTTTATTTTACGACTAACCAAACAACTAATATGCACAAATTCAGACTACTCCAACCAGTCAAAATTTCCACCATTGCTCATTGAGATATTCATATATAATAATTGTGAAAAAATCATCACTTTAGTATATATATATTTTTTAAATTTAAAAATAATTTAAATAAAAAGAAAAATAATTTAAATAAGATTAAAATTTTAAAATAACACAATAATTATAGACCCTCTTATTACGACTCTATGAATTGTAAGGAAAATTCCATTTTTATACTTTGGGACGTGTGATTTACCATCATAGCGTTTAAAAATGATCATAGCATTTAAAAATGATCACATAATTCTCTTGTAATTTGTGAATTGAAATGCACATTTAGGTCTGTTAACGATTTAATGAAAAAAATTAAAATATTCCTATATTGTCATCTATACTATATATTAAGTAAAATAGGGTTTCTAACCCCCAAGGTCTGTGGAAGTGCCAATATGTCAATCCTAATTTTTTAAAAAAAAAATTAACCTCAGCATTTATTAACTTATCTCAACACACAAGACTTTTTAACTTCTCTCATAATTACTGCAGTACCTTTTTCAAAATAAATAATTTGTATATTAAAAAAAATTTAAAACAAATATTAGTAGCTATATCTATATCTATCTAGTTATAAACCACGTATGCAAACAGTAAGTTTTCTTTTTATTTTCTCCTTCTTGACTTTTCCTTTTGTTTACTGTTTTAATATTGTAATTAGATAGCGCATAAAAATATTTGTGATTTGTCTAGCGAATAAAAAATTATAATTTGATTTTTTAATATGATTGAAGTTAGATAAATATAAACCTTACAAGAGAAAAATGTGATTATAATTTAGTTGAATGATTCTTTTTTTTTTTTAATGTGATTGTAGTTAGTTTAATAGTTCTTTTTTTTCATTTATTATTTTGTTATGGAAAAAATGTGATGTGATTGTAGTTTGTTCAATGGCTCTTTTTTTAAATTGATTGTTGTAGTTAGTTCAATGGTTTTTTTTTAATGTTATTTAATCTTTTTATTTACTATTTTAATATGATTGAAGTTAAATAATATCAAACACCTCACAAAAAAAAATGTGATTTGTAAATGTGATGTGATTGTAGTTGTTCAATGGCTTCTTTTTTATATATGAATTTGTTGTAGTTAGTTCAATGATTTTTTTTAATGTTATTTAATCTTTTATTTACTATTTTAATTTTAGTTTTAATATGGTTGAAGTTAGATAAACTAAACACTCACAAAGAAAAAAAATGATTGTAGTTAATTCAATGGTTCATTTTTTTTAATGTGATTGTAGTTAGTCAATGGTTCTTTTTTTCATTATTTATTTTTTTATTTATGGGAAATGGTGGATGTTGATTGTAGTTTGTTCAATGGTTCTTTTTTTTTTTAATGTTTTTTTTTATTTACTATTTTAATGGTTCTTTTTTTTAATTCTTTTTTTATTATGAGTAAAATATGATTGTAGTTAGATAGCATAAAAATATTTGTGATTTGATTTGATTTTTTTTTCTAATTTGATTTTTAAAGTACCAATTATTGATAATGGTTAGATTGTATTTTGAAAAAAAAATTGTAATTGATTTTTTTAACTCGCTGTGTTTTTTGAAAAAAATTTATTGTGTTTTTTTAACTATCAATTCACTTAATTTGTGATTTGATTTTTAACTCACTGTGTTTTTTGAAAAACAAAGTGGATTGTACTTATTGGGGTCACATAATGTACCAATTATTGATGATGATTAGATTGTATTTTGACAAAAAAAAAATTGTAATTAATCTTTTTAACTCACTATGTTTTTTGAAAAATAAATTATTGTGTTTTTTTAATTATTGATGATGATTAGATATCATTAAAAAAATTGTGATTTGTATGATTGAAATTATCTCTTTTTGTTTATAATTTTATTTTTTAATGTGATTGAAGTTAGATAAACATAAACACTCACAAAAAGAAAAATGTGAATGTAGTTTGTTCAATGGTTCTAAATAATCTTTTTTATTTACTATTTTAATGGTTATTTTTTCAATTATTTTTTATATTAAAAGAAAAATGTCATTGTAGTTAGATAACATTAAAAAAATTGTGATTTGTATGATTGAAGTTATCTCATTTTGTTTATAATTTGATTTTTTAATATGATTGAAGTTAACTCACAAAAAGAAAAATTGATTGTAGTTTGTTCAATGGCTCTAAATAATCTCAATCTGAATTTTCTAAATTTTTTATTAAAAAAAAAACTCAACATTTATTGATTTGGTCAAAATCCATTGATTAATATTTATTAACTTTTTTCAATCCACGTGTCTTTCCACATGCCTGCATTTATTGATTTGATCAAAATCCCTTGATCAGCATTTAAAATCCCCTCATTCAAATAATTATAGATACAATCTGTGTATAGTTACTGCAGTACCCTTTTCAACTTCTCTCATACACTATGGTTAGTGATAAGATTGTAAAATAATTTTTATAAAAAATCTTAAAAAAACATAATTTATATATTTAAAAAAATCTATAACAAATATAAATATCTATAATTATCTCGTGCATAGCACGGGTGATAGGCTAGTTTGTTTAAAAGGAAAAATGCACTTTAATCTCCTAAGCTTTATTTTATGTGCAATTTACCCCTTTAAAATTTAAAAAGAGTATATAACCCTTTATGTCTACCACGTGTTTCACGTATGTTATTAAGTTTGATGAATTTTAACTGTGCAGTTCAGTTCACAAATCACGTGAGAGTTATGTGGTCATTTCAAAATATTAAAAGGTAAACCGCACATGACTCAAATCACAAGAGTAAAGTAAAATTTGTCCTTTTTTATGGTCCATTTTTATTTCTATTCTTAAAAATAAAAATAATAAAATGATTCAAAAACATTAATTTTTATTTTTATGTGAAAATAAATTTCAAAATTTTAAAAGTACCTTTTTAGTAAAAAACAAATTGTTTAAAAAAAATTCAAAGATAATTCACCAACAAAAAACAAAAAGGAGAGATTTATTAAGAATTCTTTTTCAAAAACTTGTAT